CCATCATCTCTGTGAAAGGCAGAACCTGGTTATCCAAACCATGTCAAGAACAGTAACACATGTATGATGGTAACAAGCCCAACAAGGCTTCAGCTGGGCTTGACAGCACTGTAGCAGGTTGATGACCGAAGAGCTTAATTACAGCTTTGCAGTTTGTTTGTCAGACTCACCTAAATATAGCCAGCACACCATAGTCTTCAAGCCATTTGAGACATTAACTGTGGGATAATTCCAGGCTTTCCAACTTTGCATTTTTAAGCTCTCTCTGGTGACTCGGATTAATTTAGAGGAGACATGGAAGGAAGACAGGAGAGAATTAAGACACACCTTTAGGAAGTGCAAGTAGGTAACACTATTTGGAAACAAAACTTCCTCCAAACCCAGATACGGCAAATACTGAGCTAATACTATGGGGCCAAGAGCTGGCTGGACCTTTATGGAGAGCTAGACCCTGCCTTATCTATGACATATAACTGCCCCTTCCTCACCAATACAGGTGACATGGGGATCTCTGAGTGATCAAAAAGGCCTGCTCAAAGGGAAGACATTAAAGAGGCTTGGAAAGGGTTTGCTACTACAGTTAACTGATTGCTCAGGGAAGCAATGCAAGGCAAACATTTGAAAAAGATCAGATGAATATTGGAGACATTCAGAAGCTGTCTGGACACGGTCCTGGGCAACTGGCTCTAAGTGGCCCTGCTTGAGCAGGGGGGTTGGACCAGATGACGTCCAGAGGTCCCTTCCCACCTCAACCACACTGCGAACAATGTGCAGAGAGAGGTATTTTGGAAATGGCCAAAGAGAATACAGCAGCTGGGATGATCTTACAGCAGCTAAAGAAGTGGATGTGTCCCCTGTGCAGAATTAATATGAAAGGGGCAAGACTAAATCACTAGTGCTCATGAACTCAGCCAACCTCACGTAGACTAAAACCCTCAGGTTTGGGGCAGGCAGAAACAGCCTCACTTGCACTCTTTTCTCACATCTGAAATTTGTTAAGGAATGGTAAGAGGACACCATGTGAGGCAATGTCTTTGGGGAGGAAAGAGGCTAAAAGCAATCCCCTGAAGTAGTGGGAGACACTGTTATGGTTATAACTGCTACAGGCACATGTACACCATATGGTTGTGAACAATCATTTCAAGGCAAAAACAAAACTTAAATACTGTCTGTGTTTGGTATCATCACTTGTCTTTCTGACCAACGATCATCTATAATTGTCTGGGCAGTAAGTTGTTATGTCAGTCTCCCCATGAGATCTAGTCTTTGCTTCAAACACTAGTTCTACCATTTTCATGGCTATTAAAGCTAATGCCTATTTATTAGTCTCATATTCTATCTTCACTGATCATTGAGTTCTTGAAAGTTAATACCAACTCATGACTGCACCCTGGAGTACCCTCTTTATCCTGGGGACATCAGGCATGATGCTAGATACCACCAGATCAGAAGATGCTTTCTAGAATTTTCTGCCTAATTTTACATGAAACTTTTACAGAGAATTATCTTGTACAACATACACCTCTGAACAAAGGAACTAGGAGGAGTTTGATTTTTGTGGTGTCAGGAGTAATAGGGGTAATTAATTCTAGAAAATCTAGAAATAGTACTCAGCTGTTAAAAGACCATACAACTCCCTTAAAAGAAGGCCTTTTGCAATTCACTTAAGATACATTAGCTTAAGTCTATTCTCAAATGAGACATGTCCAAGATTGCTGACTGCTAAAAATTCTTTGTTTTATTCTTCTCTTTCATTACCACAGACACTGCTGTTATAAATTAAGAAAACATACACACACCAAAAAAAAAAAAAAATCATGTGTGGGAAGTCAGATATCCTTCAGGCGAGGTAATGGTAAAATGTTGGATTCAGGCTATGATGTTTCAACAGCAAACACAATTGCACTTCTGTGGAAGTGTTCCTATACCCTGGATACCAATGCTAGAAGGCGCATTGCAGCTGAACACTGAACAAAGCAATTTTGGTGTCCAGCTGTACCCTAAGGATTTGATTTTTGGGTGTATACTTAGGAAAATATCAACATTTCTTGCCCTAGTTTTAAACTGGTATTTAAATTCCTAGGAACTTCACTACTGTTTTCAAAATTTAAATGTTTTTTTTAATAGGGTAACAATTTCAAGTATTTGGAACCTGTATCTTGAGTAGGAATCTGTCATGTGTCAAATAGTCTTTCAGGAGCAATTTCCACCTAATAAACTTGCTGATTTATATATGTTAATAACAGCATTTCTATTTTTTGTGTTCAGCAAATGTGATGAACAACATCAGCATGTGAAGGAAAAATGAGCTCCAAATACTCTGTCAAAGATTTGCGGAAGTATTTTTGGAGTCTTTTTCCTTAAACTCTAAAGTTCTAATATTAACGCTGTGTTTGTGTAGTCTAAAGATTAGCATTTCTGCTCCACAGCCATTTCCTATGAAGACAACCAAGACAGGGAATTGAACATGTCGGGACACTTAGGTTCTGGTCAGAGTTGTAGCAGAGGCTTTCTGTGCACAGCAAACTTGGACAAAACACTGAATAAGATACATTATTTAACCTCCCTTTATCTAAGTTTACCTCCATGGGACTATTCCCCCTACATAAGGGCATGTGCTAAGTTCACGTTTGTGTAGTGCCTATACTTTTTGATGGGAGTTTTTCCAGAGTTGCTAAACATTGTCATTATTATTGAGTAATAAACAAGTTATTTGTGCCAACAGTCCAAGTCCTACCTGGGCACTATTTTGTACTATGGTGTGAGAAAATTGTTTAATTTTCTTTTCTTTTAAATGCCAGTACTTTTCTGAATTTCAAAAAGCATTCCAAGTAATATGCTTTTGATCTAATGTTATTAGATCACCTTAGAGCAAAACAATTCAAGCACAGGAAAAAGACTGGGCTTACAGAAAGCTTTCTGAATTGCAAGTGACCATACAATATTTTAACACACCCAGTCAGTGAAACTTTCCACTCTAGCTGTAATATAATAAACTAGGACACTGCATCTGCTTTGGAGCCTTCCCTAATGGTCTCGTATCCTCCAAAATCCTGTAAAAAATTAAAGCTTTCTGTACCAGAGAAGGTCAGCATAGTGCTCTGTTTTTCCCCATGGCCCTACCGATTATCAGTTTCAGTACTTGGACCTTTGCTGATCTCAGCTGTACCTCAGCATCAGTGGCAGAGAGGTGGGCTGCAAGCAGGCAGGCACCAAAATATTTGGGAACTAATACCCTGCATAAGACTAGGAAATACCTGACTGTGTTCATAACAATATGGTCTTCTCGGAGATTTCAGTCCTGCATCTTTTCTTAATCAATTCCAGCTTTCAGACAATCTAAAACTTAGTCTGGGGTAGACAAAAACGACGACAGTCGAACCCAGCAGTAATACATTATTTCAGCACAACAATAAAGCAGAGAGATGTATTTCCTTGGATGCAGACCTGTAAAAAAAACCTCTCAAACAATGAGCAATGGGGGCACAACCTCCATCAAGCGAGCTGATAAAATCTCCTCCACAGATGTCTCTTCTCTGCCTGGTAGTACCAGAATGCTTTACTTTGGCCACTTTGCTTTGACCCAAGGGCCAGACTCCACCAGAAATCAAATAATGTGCAATATTTTTCATACAGAAACTCCAGCAAACAGGATCGAACCCCATCTCAGCGCATTATAAAACTGCTATGCTCTGATTTAATATTTCCCTGGTTGTGGTTTTGCATATTAAGAGTAACTTGTGAATTGTGCTTGTGGCCTTACTATGTTGTTTTGTTTTGCTATGAGCAAACACAGATTAGATTTCTGGTCTCATACTCTTTACCCTGACTGAGTGGTAAAACGACAGCAAGATCAGAGCCTGAGGGGACAAGGACATGTCAGCAATCTGGTTGAGTAATTAAGCAGTGAAACGATAGGTATGACAAATAGTTTCATTCAATTCTGAATTTAAAGTACAGCAGCTCCAATACAAGGCAAAACAGATGATAATATGCATAAATTGGGAGAGATGTGCTGGAAGGGAAGCCTTCTGTCCTCATCTTCCTACCTTTCAAAACAAGCAGTCAGCATGTATCAAATTCATTTTTAAGAAGGGCCCATTAACGTATGCTATTAAATGCTTATTTTGTTTAAAAAAGCACAAGTGGTGCTAACTGCTGAAACACTGGAGTTAAAATTAACACCAACAGAAGTTAGCTGTTGTAATCCTAAAATACCTGCACCACGCATTGCCCTCTTCAACAGAAGTTAACTCATATTTTCCCTTGACAAACACAGATGTATGTGCATATATAAGTACGCTTAGTCTGGACGTTCCTAATGAACAGTTAATCTGATTTAAAGTAGACTGTCTTTTTTTTAAAATTACTTCACCATACCTATGGAATTGGACATATATAAATCCCAACACAAATAAACAGTATCCAGTACTAAGCTCTTAAAACCCAGATTTATGACAGAAATGTGGAGACAGACTCTTCAACAGGGGCAAGGCTTAGCGGCATTACAAGAGATCAAGACAAAGTATTGTTCAACATGATTTTCTCCCTTCTCAATGGCATATCCAGCTGTCCTGTAACATTTAATTGAATCGTAACATGAAATGTGGAATTGCAAATGAAAATGACTGCATTAGAATAAGAATTAAAACCCAAAATCGGTATTCTCATCAGAGTTGGACAATTTATTCAATTACGGTTGGACTCGATGATCTTAAAGGTCTTTTTCAACCTAAATGATTTTATAATTCTATAATTTGTTACTAGACGACTCTTTGAAACTGCAGTTGCTGTTACTGTTGTCATTAAATCCTTAAAGAAAAAATACAAGCTCCTACTGCTGCTCTCTCCCTATGAACCATCAAGTGAACAGATGAGCCAACACGTTATTAAGTATAAGCAAAGCTTTTAAGATAGCCTGCAGAAATAAATAGGATGTCTACAATACACATAAAGCTACCGTTAATAACAGAGACAAAATTTTGGTATGAAAAACCTACCTTAGGAGAAGAAGAAAGCTCCCTCGATGCAGGAATAGTTGACATGTTCTCACTCATGCCTGTCTCCGACTTTGGCAAGAGGTTTGGTGTTTCAGGAGCCTTTCTTTTCATCTTCTTTTCTGGTTCTTGCAGCGGAGCAACTTTAGTTAAAGCAGGGCTTGGTTTTGGTTCATAAAATGGATTTGATCTAGTTAAGAGAAGGGAAACATATTTCTTTGCTATCTCCTTGGAATTAAAACCAAAAATAAGACCTGTTTAGAGAAGCCAATGACTAAAATGCTTTTATTATCCCATGTAAGAATATGTTTTGCCTTTACGTGCTTTTAGATGCTACTTTTTCATACGATTGAAAAGTGAGTTACAGCAATTGAAACTGCATTAGGTCAAAATTTCCATAAATTTTAAAGTCCTGTAAATTACAGAAGTTTTATCAATCGCATAAAGCTAACTCTTCAATTATACTTACCTATCTATCAAAGAGTGACCTGACTTACATACAAGCTCAATACCAACAAATTTGAGTGAAGTTCCTGGCTGTTTAATATTCTAATGAACAGAATTAAGAATGCTTCATTAGAACAGAGTTAAGAATCAGACCACTTTTACATGCATGCTTCAACATGGCTTTAGAGGCCTCACTCTTGACTGTCCAAGTCTGAAAATTTTGGCCTCCATAGGTACACAATCCATCTTGAGTGTATTTTAAGCTCTGCAGCATACAGGCACCACACCGTTTCAAGAACACTCTTTGGATAAGAGAATAGTGCAAGAAAACCACAGCTGACTTGTGTATACCTCTCTACAGATACCAGTAGCCATCATTTGTCTATTTTGAAAGTACTTTTTATAACTAAACCTTTTTTAAGAAACACAGTAAACATCTTCCACCAAGTGGATGCAGTTCAAAGAATTATTCTTCTTAACTCTGGCATTCACGTTCCAACTCCGCATTTGTTCCACCCTAAGTAAATACTTCCACAGCATTTCCAAATTTTATATATTAGTCTGATATATCAAACATCGATCAGTAATACATTAAATAATGGCTTCTACTATGCACTTAGAAGAGCCAGCAATTTTGTATCCTGCTCAGGATACTTACGGGAACCTTCTTTGCACTGAATTACTTTATTCATAATCTTTGCTTTTCATATTTTGCAATCCAAAACTGGACGGTTAATTACAAAACTGACATGTTAATTAATTCCTTTCTAGTCCATACTTCTCCTGCAAGATATATTTAGCATATATCTCAAACTATGTTTATATAACTAAGTCACTGCAATTCCAAAGATCTATTTGCATACAGTTATATAAAGCATAACTAATCACGACAAATAACCTCAGTCCCTGCAGTTCAACTCTAGATGGAAACAATAATGCATACAGCATTAGACAAGAGCCTACCTAGCTAGATCCACTTACAAATTTCCTCTCAGGATAAGAGTCATGAGCTAGTACACACTGTTTTTAAACTACAACAGCAAAATTTGGGCACAAGCGAAAAACCAACTATTCATCCAGTTTGCTTTCACACCACACCAGATTTCTCTCAGTTTTGTCTACTTTTAGTATGAAAATGTGTCTTTCAATCTCTTGGACTGATTTTAGAATTTATTTTAATGCAGTTTACCATCATCCTCTTTTCACTGAGAAAAAGCAAGCAATTAATAATCCACACTGCAGAAAATAAGTCTAGTTCTGAAAGACAAAGTTTATTGAAGCACATAAGTGAAGATCGGACATAAAACCTCCAGACCTTTCTAAGAATCTGCCACTGCTTGTTATAGAGAAAGAGATCTAAATCCAGATACTGAAATGAAAGGAAAGACTAACACTAACATAACTCATGTGCTCATTGAAGGCAACTTTCAGGTGTTCCCACTTTGCTGCCCATCAAGTGCAAGGCCACCAGTGCAATCAAAACTAAAGGCAACATCAAAATAACGAGTTAAATAGAAATGGATGGGTGTTTTCCATGGGAGGCAGTAGAAAAAGGAGGGTATTCAGGCTGGAGTGGAGAATGCACCTAGCTGTCAGTAGCTCTAATTTAGCTGACAGCCCAGCTCAGCTGTCTTCAGACACTGGGAAGTTCAAAGGGAGGTGAAAATGAAGATAAAAGAAGTAAAGGCTGAAGAACAATGTGTTCTACAGGAAAGCATAAGGTTTTCTTTAGTTCAATAAGTTAGCCTTCTGAACAGCCAACAGACACAGCATGTTTGGCAGGAAAGTAATTTACCTCTGTGTACTTGGAATTAGAAAGGTGTATTCGTAAGGTGTTAAAATTAATTTGGTGCAAGAGAAAAAAAAAACAAAACACCTTACCAATGAGAGTAAGAAAGTTTGGAAGAACCACCTTTTGAATTTTTATGCTCCAGAATTGTCTGCGTTACGTGCATTATCTTGAAGAATTGTACCCTACTGCACACACCAGAAGGAAGAGCAGTAGGGAGGAGACAAGTGACTGCCTTTTTTTTCCTAGAGAAGAACTTGCTTGAAAGCCAGACTAAATGCTCACATTTTGCTCATAGTACGGGCAGAACACACACACACTACTTTCCACCCTCCCCTCTGCACTGCCTTTAATTGGTCTTACAAATATTGAGAAAGATTTTTGAAAAAGTAAGTTCAATACAGAAAAAAAACCCAAAATGGTTCTTGCCTGAAGAAGCTATAAGTGTTGAAGTCATGGGGGTCTGATATATGCAGCAGAGTTTCGTCCAACAGCTTCCACATGGCTATACAAGAAACTAAGCAAGGGAAAAGTCTGGCTGAAAAAAGCCTTCACTGAAAAATACTAAACCACTTTTCTCTGAGGTCAGCTCCCATACTTTTTGCTTCTGTGAAGTTATTTAATTGATCCACACAATATGATTTGCCTAAAGAGATATGAGACTGTCCACCACAAAACTAGAAAAACCAAACCTGACAAACTATCTGGCATTAAGCTGTTGCTGGCAGTGTAGTGGCTTGTGGCTTCTTGTGCAACAAGCAGCTTCAATAGATGGCAATTCAACAGTCTTTCCAATTAGACAGCATTATTCTAAGCCATGCAATGACTAATGAGATAAGAAGCCACAGAGCCAAATAATATCTGAAAGCAGGTTTTGTTCTGACCAATTTAAAAATTATTTTGATCAGCGTTACTGGTTAACTGAAAAAAAAATCAACATTTTATTGAGGAGGAAAAACAAAGCTCTCAGTGTGGTAGGGTTAAAAGATCAGGCAATATTACCCATCAGAAGTACTAAGGGTTGAAAGCACTATACTTTAAGTAGTTGTGAGCTATACTGTTTTCAAATATTTAAACTTAACTTAGCAAGGTGTGCTTCCTTTATTAACAGGTAGCCACCTACCATTTTGATTTTAATGTATAAAATTCAAAAAGGCAAAAGCAGAATTTGCCACTAACATCCAAATGCCCAAACTAACAAAAGGAAAATGTGTTGCCTATCTCTAGCTAGGTATGAGAATTTAGCCAGAGGAAGTATGTTTTCAGAGCGTCATTTTACAGCAAAATATATGTACTGGATCATCTAAGTCCCCCTGTACCATGCAACACCTCATTATGCTTATGCTTGTGACTATGCTTTGCTTATGTGTGTTGTGAAATCTTATGTTATCTTCACAACCATTACTGAAATATGTTTCAATGAAGCCAATTACCCAAGGTAAATCCTTCACAGAGGTGCAGTGAGGGTAAGTACCTTTCCCAAGATTACAATGAGAATCTGTTACAAAACTGGAGTCAGACTTCAGCTCTTGGGGCACTTTGTGTAAGGTCTGAGTCCAGAATCAGAACTAGGGATCTGCCAGAGTAGAGTGGGACAAAGGTCCTGATGCTAACTGTCCATGTTCCCATGACACACCATCACATTTCACGCAAAATACAAGAGGAAAATGCCAAGTGGTGCATTAAGTGAACTCCAATGAAACATTTAAGACGCAGGGATAAAAATACATTATATTTCCTGAGTGACAGTAAATATCTTTCAGGAGCCTTCTATTTCTCATGCCTTCCATCTGTCAGGTTCAAAACCACTCCTGGGGAAAGCACTAGACCAGCAGTAGTCAAAAATAATTAAAAACTACCCAAAACAAACAAACAAACAAAAAAATCAAAAGACAAGATGTTAGGAGAGAGGTTGAAAATATGCAAAGTTTTCTAATGCTGTGATATGACTCAGTTGTTCAGCCTTGTCTTGAGTACACTGCTCAGGCCAAGTCAACGCTCTTAAAATAGATACATAGCAGAAGAAATAACAGGGTCCAGAGACGTGCAGTGAAAATGATTAGAGAGATGAAGAGGCTTCTGTATGAAGAGAGATTGAAAAAGTTAGCACCATTTAATTCGGACAAGTGACAAGTAATGGTGAACATGCTAGAGATATACAACACAGCAATTGTTTATGGCAGATAAATCCAATACTACTAATTGTTGTTTCGGTAAGCCAGCAGAAGAGATAGTGTATGGGATTGGAAAGGTAACTTATTTACAATCAATAAAAGGAAACACACTTCATATAAGATCTTGGTTTTTTGTGGAACTCTGCAACAAATTGACACTGAAGCCTAGACTTAAATAGAATTTGGAAGAAGATTAGCCACTTACGTAGATAATAAAAGATAATATTCACATAAGATAAGAAACAATACACACCTGGACATAAACCTTCATGATTTAGGGCACACAAAAACTACCAACTGGCACTGCCTATGAAAATCTTTCCTTTGGTGCTCACTGTACCATACCTTAGCAGAAACTTTCTACTGAAAAATTTGAAAATTAATGAGGTAAATTTGAAAATTACATGAGGTAAGGCATAATAGTGCTTGTAGGTGTGAGTTAGTATCACAAGTCCTGCGTTCCTAGACCGGAGTTTTATTATTACACTGATCCCTCCAGAGCGTTTCAGTATAAAGATTCAAAGGTTCTCCTTACCACACTTCTACCCAATACATTTAACAAATGGTCTCCACGTCTTTTTCAATGACATGGCACTCCTGTAACCTGGGAGAAAAATGTGGAGAGGAAGCTACTTTGGGGGTCAGGCCATAAAAAAATTATGTAGAAGACATAAAAAACTATTTTACAGTGCTTTTTGACTCCTTATCCTTCCATCTTTCCATCGGACATTGCTTTTATAAAGAAAACACAGATCATATTTATGTTCAAGTAGAATCCACCTATGGGGAGTTTATTTTTATCCTTGGGGGGAAAAAAAAAAGGAATAAAGCAAATGGGGTCATTAAAATAAGAAAGGTGTTGTAAACAAAGGGCTAGAGAAATCTACAGTCCAGTACACAGAAAAAACAAGGCTGCCTGTTACAATGCTGCTGCAAGCCCATTTGGCACAGATTTGCTTAGGGTGGACATGTGAGTATAAATATAAAACACAGAAAATTCTTCACTTGCCCATCCATGTAGCTTTTGCTCTTTCCGCTCTTCTCCTCAGTCTTTGCTGTCCTCTATATCCATATCTTTGCGGGTGTAAAGTATACATATTTTTTCTCTCTGAGGATTCTGGTGATCAGTGAATGATCAGGGATGCCTGGTGTGACCATCAACAGTGTGATCACACTGTGCTCTGAAGACACAGCAGCCAGTGCTATTTGTTCAGGCAGTGCCCTGATGAATGGAGCTGGCAGAGACATCATTCCCCAATGCCCTTTTTTTTTTTTTCTCCCACAGAACAAATAACAACAACAAACCCACGGCCAAAGAGCTTTAAGAGGAAAAAAACCCTGCAGGGTCCTTTATACATTTCTATTAGAGTGCATGGGAATCCTTCAATTTCCTAGAACACAGCTATAAACAGAGAAACATAAAGAGGATAATATGACACCTGTATTAATATTAAATATGAAAGCAATGCAAATGCCATGCCATGATAAATCTCATTAAATAATGTAAAACTAAATGTTAATTACAGTTGTTGTCTGTAAAATTGCTTGCATGTAATCACCATAAACTGTCTCATGAGTGGTGTGGTTGGTGACTAATGACCGCAAACAAGGAGTAAGTATATACCTTCAAACCTCCCCAGCTGCACAGATATTGCAAAAAGCTCTCACTCCTTGTTAGGTTTCTATACTATAATACAAGGCAGTCAGTGTGAGTTTATAAAAGTTTTATGTGTGGTTATGATAAAAGAAACAACCTAAGAAAGTGCATATGGTGTTATCTTTCTCATATAGAGATTCAGTTTTATGAGACTCTCAAAAATATGCTATGCAGACTGCAAAACGCTCTTCCTTTTTACACACTGCACCAATACAAAACAAACGCTCCATTATCATTAACAAAAATTATTATTTTATGTAGAAAAATAATGGCAAAAAGGACAGGAAGGACCAAGCTCTGCTGCTCCTTAATTTTTGGCTCATTTGCAATTGTCAGGGCATGAAGTGCCAAAAAGGTACACAGACTTGTTCCCTATCAAGTAATTTGCTATCAATGAGGCAAAGAAAAGTTTCCTAACTGATCATGATCATGCTGAATAGCATGACTTGGGGGTATGGTATTTCCTGCTGCTGAGCTACCTAAGGATCAGTCTGCCCTAAGGAGGTGATTAAGGATCACCAAGGTTGAACCCAATACACCTCAAGATTAAGCCAGGGATCCCACTAATGCTTCCGAAGCTGCTGAAAGATGAAGAATCATACTTACTCATCTAGCTCTTCCTCTTCAGCTTTAGAGGTATCTGCATAGAGGTATTTGCTCATATCCACTGGTCTGACGTTTTTCCTTTTTGCAGGTTGCGGAGGAGAATCTCTTACAGTTACAAATGTTTCAGGCTCAGGATCTGGCTCTTCAAATGGGTTCAAGTACTCTGGGGCATCTTCATCCTTGAAGGGATTGTAATTGTCAGCATAGAAACTTTCTTCTGGCTTTGAAGATGAAGCTATTTCAGTGTCCGGTTCTACCAAATAACAAAAAAATCATTAAACAGATTTAACATAGAAAAAATTTGAAACCATTTTAAGAGTTCTTTATATTTTGAAGGCTTATGAAAAGGTCTGCTTCTTAATTCTCAATACATAAATTCCTAGCCTTAGATGAATTTTCACGCTTTATTTATTACAGTGACCTAGATGAATTTTCACGCTTTATTTATTTACAGTGACCTTGTTTATTCAAAAATAGGACTTTCAAAAGGTCATTTCATCTAGAGTATATTGAATACTCTCATTTTCTCACTAAAGCTCTTTCAACCTAATTAGTTATTAGTTTTCTTATTTGTCATATAAATGGTATTGCAACAGAATATAAAACATTTTCCCAAGCTATTAGCCAATTTGTAACCTAACAAAATGTTCTCAATTATTTATTTGAGCTTTTAATAAAGAAAAAAGATATCCTGTATTTTATAATAAAATTACTTTACTGGATATTAAAAATGGTGACAGTAAGTACGTGGTCTTTTCATTTCTTAAAATGACTGAACTAAAAATCAGCTATTAGGTATGACCAATAATTACATTTCAAAACATACATATTTTCACTGCTAACTGCTCCTGGTAACAATACATAGTCTCACAGTAAAAATGAATTTAAATTAATCCTAAAGAGAGAGATAATCAAATTACTCATCTATTATTTGGGCTGTACAACAAAAAGTTATTAGCAACCTGGAGCCGCATGCAGTTCTTTAGAGTAACAGACACTACAGAAAGAACATTACACAAAAGTGAATAGCTGTTGGATATTGAATAATACAAATCCCCATACAGCAATACAACATTTCTTACAAAGACACTTAGTAATGTTAATTTTACTCTTCCTGCAGCATCAAATGATCAGAAGCTCAGTTCAATATTGGATTTGATGTACTTTCAAAATCTATGCAAATAAGAACTTCAATGTAGTGTCATTAAAACCTAATTTTCAATAACCACTCCCACATTATTCTTAACGCAAAGTATTTCTTTTTCAGATGTATGGTTACTAAATTGAACAAAGCATACCTTTTAGCTTTAAAAGAAAAAAAAAGTTATTTGTAGCAAGGCTCTAAAAAATAAAAAGATGGCGTTCCAAGTGTGTTTGTCACTAAACAAATATTTGGGAAGACAAAACCACTAGTCACACAACTAACAAAGGGAAGGGGCCGCAAAAGAAACAGCACTGTCGTTACTTCGTTTTGGATGGATGCTGTACTGAAGTTGCTAATCCTGGTGAATTGCTAGAAAACGTAAGTGTTCTCTACTCTGCCAGTAAACTTCCAGTTCACCCTGTCTCCAGTCATTAGCACAGCCCAAGGTGATAGAAAGCCCTACCCCACATAGCGTGACTGACTATAATCTACAGTTTGAACAAGAGCCACTCCTAGCTGGACAGGAATATGGTCCCCAGATGCAGGTAGCAGCTTCACCTATCTGTGCACTGGAGTAGTCACCAGTCACTAGACCAGGGCAAAGGCTTGGAGCAGGAAAGGCTTTAGTCCTTCTCAGAACAATTGAAACCTACCAGGGACTGGAAAGATTTCATTTCACCAAGAACCTCACATTTCTAGTGCTCTTCTTGGTTCTTCACATTTGAACCTCAAAGACTATGTTATCATATTATCTTCCACACTATTTCTAAGGGTCTCCTTCTGAAGTGATGGATCATTTCTCTATGGTCAGAAAGTAGAAATCAAATGGGTTTGGCTGGAATAACAGAATAAATTAATCAAAAACTTACTTAAGCCCAATGTGGACCCTCAGGAGATAAATCACTCCTCTGAGACTGAGGATGAGTTCAGCTCGGTGAAACAAAATAAAATTGTATTTTGCCAGACAATACTGCAGGTTTTAACTGGTAGACACACTTACAACTACACGCAGTGCTTGTGTCTGTGGGATTTCCCTATGGTGATTATTCAGAAAATTATTTTTAAAAATTCCTTTAATTCCAGGTGAGGTTTGCAGCTTCTTATTCCCTGAGCAACCTGGTCCATCTTGGCGTTAAAGAACCGACATATACAGTACACATCTATCTCTTATGTATCTCATAAGTTCTTGTATTTAACTTCAATTTCAGAACGCAATTAATACAGTTTCAAGTCAAAAACTGGAGTAAAAAAGGAGACTGAGAAGACATGTAAACCAGACACTGCACTGAAATGGGATGAGACAAAGGTAAAGTAAGATCACAAGAAGTTATTATTATGCTTAATGGTCAGTCTTTACACTATCAAAATGTGTTCTAAAAAGAACTAATTAATCAGGGTTGCAATAATAGTCTTAGCTAAATCTAAAAAAGAGGTTCTGTAACTGTTTAAACTGGTTAAGCCTCACCTGAATGTCATAAAGAAACATTTCAGCTGTGTCTTAGGAGATGGACATATAGACAAACTACTGCAGGATAAATCAGGGTGTGTATCTGCATTATGTCAGCGGTAGTGTATGTGTTCGCTCCTACACCAGAGTAAATACAACATGCTTATCCCTTAATAAAAGGGAATAAACTACTACTGGGCACTTATCCTGGGAGAAAGGGTAGTTACTGCACAGTAGGTGATGCGTATTAAGCTCACACCCTAGTTTACGTGTGGTGATTTGTTCATAAGCCCCCATCCTTATAAGAAAGATGTTTCAGAGAAAGCCACAATAAAATAATATTGAAGGTCTGTAGTTTAACTGACAAGGGAAAAGAAATCATTCAAGGCAGAAATTCTTTAAAAAAGAAAAGATCAAATCAAGCAAGAATCCTTTGACAGTATTATAGATGAAATACACCAGAGCAGAGCCCAACATTTTAAGTGTATTTTTTCATTTATTTTAAGCTAAAACTGGAAAAGAGGTTCTACATTGGCTTACTTACATCACTCCAGTGTCCAGTTCAGGTAGTCACAGCAAGCAAAAGTTTCACCCTGCTTGCCCTGAGATGTCCTCAGTGTGGGTATCTGCAGCTGAGCTAGACCCCTTTACAGTCAAAGCTTACAGGTATATGTTCAAACTGTTAATGTCTAAAATCAGGTAAGCCAAATCCCACCCTTACTGCATAGATATCCGTGACTTGAAGCTCATGTCGACAGAATACTGCTCAAATGTTACCCACACGTTAGTGATTTGATGAACTAGGCCAAGCAGAAATGCTTTTGAGATCTGCCCTCAAAAGATAGTTTCACATAAAAAGCAGAAGTAACCCAATGAAATGCAAAAAAATGACCGATGTATGTCTTGTTCAAATTGTGCAACTTATTGATGACATTTTAACCACAATTTTTGCTACTTTAAACTTTGCTCAAATCTTAAAATATTTTATCATCAAGAGTGCACAACTACGAATACCTGCTTCTGCAACTCCGTATGATCGAGCACAGCACCTGCACATGAATCTGTTGATAAATACACATTACCATACCTGAGCAAAACTTGCTGATAACTCACAAGCAGTATTCAAACAAATATTACTAGAAGGAATGCCAGTAATATTTCCTGAATTAAAAACATTCAGGGAAACAATCTCTTAAAACTACACTGTAAGCTTTTACTTTTAATTTGCTTTTAAGTGTCTCCTGGAAATGATGCATTAAATGCTTGTTTAAATCTGATAAATTTTAAGGGGCAATGCAAATGCTTTTTGCAATTCTTTCTATTTCAACACTATGGATCAAGTGCTGTAACCCTAACTAGGACAAAATTCTTTCTCTTGTTCATTGGCTCAACAGTAACTACAGGTTTGGCCTTAGACGCAGAGCATTGCAGAACAGCACTCAGAGACCTCTGGCTTATTATTAATTAAAGGATTTCACAAAACCCTACACACAGGCTAAAATTAAAAGAGCTTCTAAAAGTATCATTTCCAAGAAACTTTTACAGGCAGAATTTGTAGGGGCTCAACTAGAACCCACTTAACTTGGCTGCTCATTCTCTCTCCTCCTGTCATCCAAGATACTATTTTTTTTTTCCCCCTCTGCTTCCTTCAATGTCCCTACAGCAGGGAGGGTCCCCACCTGAACCCAACCAGGCTATCTCCCATGGGGTCTCTGAAACCCTTTAGGACTAGCTTTTATGTCAAGTGTTGGTCATCACTTCATGAGCCTCTCTATAACAAATTAAATTGCTCAGACAATGACTCAACAACACTGCTCTTAAAGCTGCAGCCACTGTTACCTTCTCTATAACAAAGACTCATATTTTCTAATGGACCTAATGGTGTTGGGAAGTGCATTTTGGGGGGCTGAACATACAACAGCTTAAAAGGGGCTTATTTCCCTCTTCAAGCTGATTTTACACTAAGGAGTCAACGCAGATACCCTTGCTTCCCCCTAAATTAATCACAGTTGAAAACACAAGACTCCAGTCTCTACTGGAACTAATTTTTTTAATTGCAGTTCTCTACACTGATATTAAAAAAAAAAAGATGCTTGCAGTTTGGCACTCCAAGGGTCAAACACACAATAATTTTGCATGGTTAAGTAATAAAGCCACAGGGGTAGGAGTGACAAAAGGAGAGGTAGAAGTATTACTACAGCAGAAGCACCAGCTGCTCTTGTGCCAGATTCTGGAAACATTACTTGCCCTAACTCTACCGAGAAAGACTACTCATGATAGTAATCACTCTGGCACTACCTATCTGCACAATCAGCCTTCCAGTTCCCAGAGGATCTCCAAAAATCACCCTGCCCTTCAACCCACTTGCCTTTTGTAACACAAACATATTGTGACACATCCCTTAAAACCAAACAAAACCCCCACCAGAACATTACACATACCACTTTCCCCTTGGCAGAGGATGAAAGAACAAGCCACATGTGAAAGATAGCTAGTTATGCCATTTACTGTACTACTGGCAAGCACACAGTCACGATGGTGATGTGAGCAGCATAACAAACAGCACAGAATAAAAATGTAACTTCCCAATACTTCTAGAAAGCATAATGACTGGCATCCCTATAAACCACTGATGATTTTCTATTACTTTTATTAAGACTCGCACCAGCAACACATTACATTTCATTAAGAAATATAAGGAGATGGGACAGAGTAATCGTTTTCCTCTATAGTGGTTCTTGTATTGCTCTCCTTAGGACTATCCTAGAGGGATTCTGGGGTTTGGTACTGCATTGTAGCACTATTTTCATTTGCAGCGTAACACATACTGCAGGGAGCTCAGAAGTCTACATACAAGGTAAAGAAACACATTGTTAAAGTAAATGCTGTTTTAAATGAAAGGGAGAAGCAGTGCCAGCAAATAGTTACCCTCATGTCTCACGTGTGTTGCAGGAAATTTGTATTGGTCATATGCAACTTCAAAATTTTCATTCCCCACCTAATTAAAAAAATATCTGGAGCGCTGAAAGTGCATTGTTATTTTCTATTTGCATTTGTTGTATATGTTGACTTCCCCAAGTAAAATATTTTGCACAAAAATTAACTGATTTTAGAATTCTGTTGTAACGTGACTAAAAGACAATCCAAAAGGCAGTCCTCATATGACCATCTACATATTGTCTAGTATAAAGCTGTAGAGATATACCGTTCAAAGAGATTATTTTTGTTTTTCCAGATTTCTAATGTCTAGCTAACCTACTGGATACAGCGGGAATAAGCCTCAATTTGACATGTCAACCAAGAAACACAGCTGAAGATTTTTTTGAGGTGAGTTGTTCATATGCACATTCACTCCACTGTGTGTATAAGATCATTTACACCAAGGACTTTTTAAACCACAGCAGCATCCAGAGACAGCTTGCTGATGACCCTCTGCCATGCACCACACCCACAGTGTGCACATGGATGCTGGGAGCACTCACGCCTTTAGTTTCTCTCCACCCCGCGTTCCCAGGGTTAGATGATTATGGGATCAGGAAGATAGAGGGAAAGTAGCCGGTTTGTGAACAGGCACAAGAAGTATCTGTCTAGGAAACAAGTATCTACTGGCAAGTAATCCTCCTTTCTCTTTAAGTGACTGTCAATACATATGTATTCATACCCTGGGTGGCTCTAAGCACTCTCTCACTAAGCACACAGGTTACAGGCTTGATAGGAATATCCCTGGAATATCTCTGCCAAATGGCACATCGTGCCTCCTAGCATCTGATGGCAAAGTACTCAGGAAAGGAGGCTCCAGATGGCTGCTCTGCACATCTTGGGGAAATTAAGTAATAAATTCTACAGAAAGATTCTGAACTTTTACAAAGTCTAAATTCAAAATTTTGCCTTGTCCAGATAAAAAGATAAAGCAGACTAGCATGTAGTGAATAGAAAAATACTTCATCCCTGCATACATAAAAGGTTAATCTCTTGATTTAAGCAGATCACAAGACAAGTGAAACAGGTAATGTGACTCTTTAAGCCTGTAGGAGAAAGTCTGCCTTAAACTCCTGAACCTCTGTCATGCTCCCAAGCTGCTGGGGTGGCCACCAAAAAGGTCACATTCACTTAAGGATGCAAAAGCAAACAAGCAGGAATAGTCTCAAAGAGCTTCCTAAAAACAGATGGCAGCAATGAAAGTTCCACTGAGGTCTCAGAGTAGAAATTAGTCCTAAACCATGAGGGAATACACCTGCGGCCAAGTGGGAAACAAACAGGGCAGCCTTCTGCAGCAGAGCAACAGGGTAAAAACAGTCTCAATATTGTGTAGCTTCAAAATGTAGTCCAACAGAAAGGGAAATCTCCCCAAAACAGTAAGGTCGAGGTGTACCCCATGTAGAGATACTGATCCAATTAGCCACAGACATACATAGCAGATTCCTGCTGTTGCTGAAGACCAGAACTGTCTTAACTAATTTGTCTCGGCACCTTTTTTTCCTCCTCAACTTTCTGTGAAGGAAGAGGACTGGAGGAAAGACACATGTCAAGAAGGCCAAGCAAGGGAAGATGAACACAACCAGTGCCCATTATAGGGAGAAGACACCTCTGGAGTGGAAGAGCCAGCACTTCTTAGAGGTGTCTGAGGTGACTAGAAGAGTTATTATTAGTTAAAAAACTAATCATAAAGTAAAAGCTTTAAAAATGCCACACCAGATGGTGTGTCTTTGTCTGACAGCCTGAAACACCTCAGATCTACTTGGTTGAGTGCTCCAGGAAGACACACTCCTGTCACATGAACCTGACAGAAGCTCCATCCCTCCCAAATAAAAAACACCTTATGACACAGTAGGAAGAATCTAGTGACACCCTGTTTATCAAAATCACTGTCATGTTGTTGTACATTGACTGCTGGATGATGGCGACAATGTGTGGGAGGAATATTTGGTACACACACACCCAACAACTCAGCATTGCTACCCACAGCTGTATAGATAGGACTTCTTTGGGGACCCAACAGTCTGAGCCCCGAGACTGTCCAAGTACACAGAACAGACCCAGAGGAACAGAGAAGTGTCCATGACTGTGACTGAAGATGGCAGTAAAGGCTAGATGCCACCAAAGGGACCAGAATTGACTGAAAAAACGTGCCCCATATATATTAGGAGTCTTTTGGGAACATAAGCAGGCTGGAGCCTTGGATGCAGGCTACTCAGAGGGAACCTGACATGAGGTGTCAAGCTAATCTGGCACTAAGAAACACCACCAGCTTATAACTCCCTGTCCCTGAGATGAGACGGAACCAATTCTTAGTCCCTATATTTTGTCGTCAGAAGACCTGCTGCTTTCTGCCAGTGCAGGTTCTCTCTGGAAAGGAAATAAAAGCTGGGTTTGGAAAACAGCAGTTTAGATAGGATGGGACTTGTACAGCTCTCTCCAGGGAGAAGGGAGCTCTTCTTTCTAGAGCAGAGAAGGAAGAAAGGAATATAGGCTGAGTCTCTTAGAGCAAGTTGTGTATGGACAGCTAGATGGATGAGAATAGGTGTTTTATATCCCTGGTTATTCTGCCTCCTTCCGTGATCCTAAGGGAATTCACAGCCAAGAAACAGACAGGAAATGAAGCCAAAGATCCAGACACCAGAACCTAATCCATATATATTGGTATCTACAAAGCTGAAACGACTCGCTTCCGCAGCTCTAGAAACACCTGATAACTTTATAGGAGGGAGAAGGGGCCTGGGATAGTGGCTTTATGGCTTCGATGGCCAAATACCGAAGATAGTGCAGTGTCCCTGTTTGAGAAATACAAGCTGTGAGACTACACCACAGCCAAAGTATGACAGAACTTAGATCACCACCCACACTGGCCCCTGTGGACTCAGAAGGCAGAAAAGTCATGTTGTGAGTAAACATTCAGCTTGGCCAGAGAAAGAGAGTAATCACAGGTGGAAACGGCAGCTCAGAAATGCATCCCCATTAGACCTGGCATTAGAAATCCCATGGCTGTACCCTGGGCTGCCCCTGCTCGGTGTGGTTCTTTTCCACCACCATTACAGAGTGGCTCCTAGGGTTTGGTCAAAGGTGGCAAATGCTCCTTGGTATTTTCTGTGGGAAGAAAAGTCTTGGAACTTTGAACGGGAAAGGTTGAGTACAGCTTCAAACCTGGGAATTAACTATGGATTGGCATTTCAAGCAGCTGCAAACTGAGAAAGTCATACAGCCTTTTTTTTTGATGGCAGCAGATGGAAGCCTACATATCTGGACATGAGGTTGAGGACAGCAGAGATCCCTGCTGTCTTGGTGCTACTTTCTGGCCTTATGGCCGAAGCCTTACCAGATTAAAAACTTACAGGGGTTGGTTGTATTTCTCACTCGAACACAACAAGAATGGGCATGTCAGTCTGGAAAGGGGATTAACACCTACCACGTGGTGCAACTTGCGATGCCAGAAGGCTTATCTGATGAAGCCATAAGAGCAAAAAGAGAAGAATGAGAGAGATACAATTAAATTATAATAATGAAGATTAGTGCTAACCAAGAACAGCTGTGATGCAGTGAAGATTGCAGCGAAGGAAGTTCTGATATAAACCAGCATCCACGTGGAACAGAGGCGCTTGACAGTATGTGTTGCTCATTTATACCACGAGGTGAGTACTAGCAACACACCTGATAGGTCTAAAAGTCTCTGGTTCAACTCTTAGCTGGTAGCCCCCAGTGGCAAATACACATGAGGATGTGACTCAAAGGATAAATCCATTTTCCAGTGGCAACTGGATCACTGCTATTGCTACCTCAGTATTGCATGTAATAATTGTATTTAGTCAACATTCTTCATTTGTAGCCCTACCAAAAAAAAAATCATGTTTCATTAAACATCTGCAATTAACGATGAATTATGTAACTATTACCTTCTACATCAGGGTCTCCGAATGGATTTAATTCTCCTGTGTCAGGATCACCAAAAGGGTTCGTACTAGCGTTGGCCAGGTCTTGGTCCTCTTCGTCCAGAAAATTAAGCTTATTGATAAGCTCTAGAAACAAGTTGGAATGTTGTTTTAATATAGATACAAACTGTTCACCAAACGTATTACAAGCTCAAAAAAACTCCGTATCAACAGTCCCTTGAAACACTGCACCAGGGTATGGCACGAACTGCACAACTAAGCTAATGCACTTCAGTAGTACACCAACAAAGGAGGAAAAAAAAAAGTGAAATGAATGAAACTTCTCTGCGCTGATCAGACCATTACGTAACAGAAATGACTACTAAGAAAGCCTTCTATTATCTTCATTAAATAAATGCTGCAGAACATCTAACAAGCTAAGTACAGCAAATTCTTTTTGGTTGTTCACCTACATGTTAACTATCAGCAGGAATTTTTAAGTTTTGGATTTAATATGCATGTAAAATCAGAGAGGGGATGTTTTGTCAAGTTAGAGAGGTCAAGTACTATTGACTGCACAACTAATGTTTTAGGCTTGGGGTCTGGGACTTTTTTTGTAATTTTTTTTTTTCTTTCTTGTTCGTTATCAGATGACAATGGAGCTGTGGAGGACAGAGGCTCTTTCTCTATCGTGTTGTTACCTGTTGGATGCACTACAAATTACTGAGAGTCATGCTGGGTGGAAGCATAGAGATAAAACTGACAGCTGAATACAAGCAGGAGTCAAAAGGTAACAGGTCACAGTAAATACAGACAATCAGAAACAGAAAGAAAGGAGGAAAGCTCATAGACCTTCAGAGGAACTGGCTGATTTAGCTGAAGGCATATTTGCTCGCTTTATGCAGTCATCTTGATCTTCATCTAAGCTGCTGAGAGCATTCAACTGGTTTACAATTTCTGTAAATAGAAGCCAGTCAAGACAAACGTAAGGCAAGGGCATTTAATGAAGCAAGTTGAACGAACACTGTTACTAGAAAGAGAGAGCGTGAGGGAGAGAGAGGGTAAAAGAGAAGACACAGAGGTAATTAAAAGAATACATTTAGAACAAGTTCTTACAATGATATACCTACAGCAAAGCACCTGTGTAGGTGCTTCAGTGATAATTTAACAAGAAACCCAGTTAGCAGACATAAACAAAACCTTGCCAGATTCCTGGTGTCAGCAACAGTAATTAGTTTTATGAGGATGAGTACGCACATCAGTTCAAAACTTAGATGTACTAGATATAATTTAAAGACTTTTCCTGCTCATGAAGAAAACCTGAATTTTAAACCATTGTCAATCAACATGAAACAGCCCCAGAACAATTTACCTCCCTCCCTAACACTTAAGGCTACAGAAAACTCATACATACGCAAGCATTTTATATAGTTTATTTATTTATACACACACACACTCTCTGGTTATTTAACATTTACAATCAGTCACCATTAAATTCTGACCTATGACAAGTTGAATTTATCTAATAGTTCTAAAAGATATGATCAATATTGTGCTATGAGAATGCATACTGAACGTACATATTGGTTGAATTTGCCACTGCAATGCTGGGCAAGTAACACTTTACTGTTAGGTAAAACCCTATTCCACCTTCTATCCATAGCGGAGAGCTCTGAATTGCCATGAATAATTTTTAAAATGTATTAATGTTTAATTCTAGCCAAGATGTTGATGCGTCCATAATTCTGGAAGGAAAGAAAGAAACAAAAACCAACTAGGTCTTACTGGCTTCTGCCCCAAGGGGAAAAATTCCTCTCTGATCCCCCGATAAAGCAGTCCTATCCACAGCATCTGACAAATGCAGTTTCTGTGGTAATGGGGATTGAGCCTGAGGCGTCCCTGAAAGACCTCAAGCATAGGTTTCTGTGGAGAGGGGACAGCCTTCCTCGTCCTTTCAGCTGACAAACAGGCAGGAGAAACCTGTGCAGGAGAGATGATCCTGCTTGTTGAATATCATTGCCCCTCTGACAGGTTTTTTCATCTCCTGTCTTTTCCCAATGAAATAAATGGATGATGTCTTCTGGTGTCACCAGTGAAGTTAAAGCTACGTAGATGCCTCTACTGCACACTTCTCATGCCAATCATTTTTGGATTTCCTTTACACTTCAATTTCTTGTGTACACAAGAAGTTACTTCTTCGTAACGCTTTTTAGTTTGTTGCTGTTTTCAACTTGACTTTTTCTCATATGGCTTTTGTTTGGGAAAGCAAATGTTTGTCACTGACTTACAACTCAACACTGAGTTACAAGGAGCAAGATATCGGACTGAGGTGAAAATTGAGTAGTATTGTGACCATCCCAACTCATGTTGGTGCCCACAGCCACCCAGAACTTCCTAGCAGGTGGGACTCATGCTTTTTCACAGGGCAACACCTTCACCAGTTGACACACTGACACAACTCTTATTTTCATACCTTCACAGACAGCACAAAGAACCTGAAGCCAAAAGCAGAGTCCAGAACCTGACAGTATTTCAGTCATATGGTTAAAAACTTCTTTTCCAAATTTAAACTGCTTTGCGAAGATATGCCAACCTGCAAATTACCAAGTGAAATGATCTATTCTGCCAATATCTATTGGACAAAATCTATGCTGACAATGACAAAGCCACAGCAGAATTCCTCTTAACCGCACCTCCTAACTGTTCTTGACCTTAAAGCAAAAATCTACTTAGATGGGATTACATTTATATCTATCTACACAGAGTTAATTTCACCATCCTCACTCCCTTATTTTTAGCTCCAACAAACAAGACTATTGTCCTAAAAAGTAACACCAAAACTGTCCCAAAACTCTTAACTTTCTCAGTATAAAGTCATATATACATCTTAGAGATCTGAACAATATAATACTATGTTCTGGGAATTTTTAAGACTCAAGACACACTATGGAAAATACCTTGCTGTACTCAAATAAAACAGAGTTGACCTTGTAAAACACTAGTACCAACGAATTACTAGTTTAAAACAGGCTGAGATGCTGACATGATTTACAATTTATTATGCCAGCATGTGAAAAAAACCCAAAACAATTACAATTCAGTTTTCATTGTCAGAAAATAACGAATTTATTTATTAAAGTTCAGAGCTTTAAAAAGAGGGAATTCTTTGATGTGGTCTGAATCACCTGGTCCCATCTGCCAACCTAAACACCCGTATGCACTACAATGTTTCTCATTACAATATTAAATGGTTTATGTCATATTTTGGAGTGTGGAAATGGTAGGTTGGAGATTTATGTCCTGTATTATCTTTTATAAATCTCATTATCTACAAACTTATATTAGCTTGTTCTACAAGTATGTCATATAAATCACTGGGGGTTTTTTTAATTCTTTTCTCTTGCTCTTTTTTTTTTTTAAAGCAGCTTGGTGCTACTAACAAAGAAGATTAAAAGTATCAGAAGTTTACATGGGAGGTATGGTTTTGCAAATGGCAAGAAAGGGTTACACATATTGCTCTCCAGAAGCCTGCTCTTGAAATATACTGGGATTCAGACTCCTGCAATAGGTAGCGCATGTGCATGTTGCTGAGCCCATGTGGCACCCCAGGACAGTCACCGTGCTCCTGTGCAGATGGAGCAGGAGGCAACTATCAACTTCAGCATGAGGCGCTAAGTATCAATTAAAAGATTAAGAGAAGCAATGCATTTATTACTACCCTAAGTTTGTGAGTTATGAGCCACATTTCTTCAAGTACGTTAGGATGCCTTGTCTTCAACTGAAGACTAAGGACAGGATAATTCTGAGAGGTTTAAATTCATCTATATTAATAGTGTAGAAGCAAAATATTTGAAACGTATTTCATGGCTACAAACATTTTCAAGTTCACATAGAACAGTTAGGTGGAGATACAGCTTTTACACATGAAGAATTTAAATAATAAATATTGGGACGGAAGCAGAAAAGTCTGAGATGTAGGGAGATTTTTTTTAAAATGAAAGCGGTGCTTTGAATGGAAAACATCTTTCAGTCTGATCTTAAGGTCAGTTGTATGGCAACAGCTCACATGTTGACCACACCAATTTCCACAGTGCTTTTGAGGTAGGTCAGTATTGCACCACTTATTTCATAGCTGAGAAACAGAGGCACAGATACTTACCCAAAGTTAGGCAACACATCAAAGAAGAGAAACAGCATTTCCTAACTCACCAGCACCATCTAGAGCCCCATTCAGCAGGTCTTTTTTGTTCTCCTAGTGGTGGATATATTTATTCATCTATAAAACTGTAACTCTGGGCCCAATAAAAAAAATTAATTAACTTTTGTATGCTGCAAAAAGGAACAGTGTCTGTGATAAAGGTTTGCAGCAGCTCCTATAGCTGTGGCTTGAGAATGACAATGTTTCAGTCACCAAGTCATCCAACGTTTCTGTGAGAAGACCTTGAGCCAAAAGTAAGATAATAATCCCTTCTGCTTTACTACCTGCACTTCACTTTTTCAAAGCTCACTTACAAACATTAACCATGTAATACTCCCATCGTTCCTGTGAAGTAGTTATAGCCAGTATCCCCATTTTACAGTTGGGAAAACAGGCGCACCGAGGCAAAGTGATCTGCCGCAGGGGACTCTGAGTCAGTGAAGGCATTCCAGCTCGCTCAGCTGCCAACACCCTAACACGGCAACATGAGAAAATGTTGGGAGCAGCAAGCTTTCAAAAGGGTTATGTAACTTCCTCAATTAACTTCATGGGATTCTGTGAACACAATTATTTTTGAAAGAAATTTTACAGAGAGTACTTCATTACAGCAGTTTTGTTCCACTTCCTTCTTTCTATATTTCTTATTTTTCTACAATTATTCCTACCTCTTTCTCCCTTGGTTCCTCAGCTCTTCTCCTTGTGTTTTATTAGTTTTTCCCATTCATTATATTTATTACAGGAGTCACTCCAACTGCCAATGAAATCAGTCTTGAACACATGTTGAAATAGATCCTTTACACTTTATTTATTAATGTTTACTTACTGCCCTATGTTTTATGTTCTCCCATTTGCTTGGGAAACTATGTGCACTCATTCTCCTTCAACATCCCTCTCATCCCTCTCGTTGTCTAACGTGGGAAAAGTTAGCCAGGCTAACGAAGCAACTCAGCTGCTGTAGCCAACACAAGAAGAAAAAGTCCAAGGCTGACCTTTCCCCCCTCAGGTTCCCTTAATGATGCATCTACAAAAAACCCAACCCAACCCTCCCATCTTGTATCATTAGAAAACAGTATCAGAACAGGCTGAACAATGAGCAGATATAGTGTAGAAGTATTTATTGCTTCTGCCTTTCAAGTAGGTATAGTAATGTTTGCTTAGAACAGATAATTTTGGCCTTTACAACAACAGATGGAAAAGCTGAAATGCCTTTAAAAGAACTCGAGCTAGGACCTTGTGTTGCACATCAGACAGCTCACCCTTCCCCATCTATATCCAGGGATGTTCACTACATAGCCAAAGGATAGTGGACAGACTAGACTAATCTACATCAGCGTTTTGCTTGTTCAGGAATTGTTTGTTGGCTTGTTTAGATGCTGAATGCTGCAAGATCCATGAAGTTGAGGAGCAAGATCTGCTGCTTTTCAACTATTGTCCTGCACATGGGTTTTCTGTAGCAGTCCTCAGTGCAGTATCTAGGCATATCTTAATAAAACACATCTGCACAATAGTTTATATAGACTTTACATAGCCTCTCCTTTATGTGCCCTTGTCTTCTCTGTGATTATTGGATGGGCTAGTGAATATGTCAGGTTTTCTTTGGTGTTCTGACACGCACCTGAATTATTCTGGTTACAATGGTAAAGGAGAGAAAGACCTTGCAGAATTATTTCAGTGTGACCAGACTAGTATTTCTCCACTCCCTGACCAAGAATACATTATCTCAAATGTCTCTCAAATATTTCATTCTGGACTTTCCAATCTGGTCTGTGCCAGACACATACAGCGTAAGTAGAGATTTGGTCAGGGTACAAAATGTTTAGCTGAGTATGTAAAGCATGGAGAAAACATATTTGCATCCTTTCACAACACTAAATATAACTAAGTAAGAACTGCTTCAGGCTGAACCTTTTGATTGCAACGAAAGCTCGAAAAGATGTAACTAATATTTCATAACACCAAACCAACGTTCCTTAGGATTTTCAAGAACAGATTTGACAATTCACTTCTCTGCTTGGGATGCTCTTCCCCACCTTAGAGAAGGACCCCATTATTTCAACAGACACTTTTAAAGAGCACTGGCAGGCTTGAAGGCTGGCACCAGAAGTTCATTTGTCTTTTCCTGATTCATTACACTAAGAGTTCCTACAGAACTCATCTGGAGCAGTACTACATCATGATCTCCACCAACAATTTAACATCACATCCTGAGCTGACTTGCATTGATTAGTTCAACTATCCTGTACACACTAAGCATTTTCATCAGTAAGCAATTAAAATGTAGTTATACTATCTCACTTCAAACAACCTTACTATCAAATTCCGTTAAAGTCCTTTAACAGACTCCTGATTTCATTTCCACAAGACACCCCCACCCAAAAGTCAGAAGTACACTGCCTGGAATTACCATATTATTGAGCAGAACCTCAGCACCTACCCACGGCACAGCTAATTTTGCAGTTATTCTCACAAACTGTCTTCATTATTTCACTTCAGCTCATCCTCTTGCCTTCTTGCTCACTGACCCTCTCCCTCCATCCTTTTACTCCTCTGTTCACACTGGTTCTTTGCTTCCCTAAAACGCTACCTACTTAGTGATTCTCTCCTAAAAACAGGACACGGACACACACACAAATCAACGCTCTTAAATTCACAAATACTTTGTTTTGGTTTGGATTGTTTAATATTAAATACAAATATAGCATAAGGATAAAATCCACGGAACGCAGCTGGCAATTAGCAAAGGGATCTACATTTTACTATCCATGTGGCAAAACCAACCTGTAATTTTTGCAGCCTTTTCCTCTTGATTCACTCTGTTTTCTTCATCTTCTTCATTGTCTTCCTCAAAATCATCTAGATTTCCAATATCAGCTTGTTTCATACTCATCAAACTAGCCAGGCTTTGCATGTCTTCATCCCTAAATAACAAATTTCAAACCAGGCATTAAAATGCAGTCTGTTAATACTACCTCTGACACTGCTGCATTATTAAAATTCCTTTAAATATTTTTATGCTTTCTTTTCTTCAGGAAGGTCTCTGATCTCAGATCTGATCTTGCATATAGTGAAAGAACAAAATGAATACACTCATGTATATTAATTTCTGAAGGGAAAGTTTTCTGTTAACAAAATTCTAAAGGGTAAAAACAGTCCTGCCTTGCCTTAAGAGTCAATTTAATGACTGCTTCTCAAAATTTTAAACCAGCCCAGAAATGCTAGTAAACACTTATCTGGTCTCCTTTGGTTGAAGTGAAAATGCTCGGTCAGACCTACTGTCCATATGCTGCATGTGACACCTATCACTACATTCATTCAGAACTCCTGACACTGTTACAGAAATTAAAATCCCTTTTCTAAATATCTGAATTCATTGACAAGATAACATATCATTGACAAGATTACATATCAATGGCCAATTTCAATTCTTATTTGACTGTATCTCATGTATATATGTTTCACATAACTGTACCTTTCATATCAAAGAAATGTTTGATTAAAAGATGACAGCAGGCAAAGATTCAGAGAAATGGATGTTCTACATTTGTTTCATACAAAACCCAAGATTTTTGAGGTACATGATGTCATTCTTGAAGCAACAGCAGTCTTACCTCTTCTCTTTTAAAACCATTTCAATAGGTTTATTGAGATGATTAATAAATTTTTTTTTTAGCTCCTTACAGTAAGACAGACTGGGGATTGCCTGGCTAGGGAGCACCTCTGCTGAAAACAGTCTGAGGATCTTGGTGGAGAGCAAGCTCTAGGAGAGCCAGCACCGTGCCCTGGCAGCCAAAGGAGGCAAACAGCATCCTGAGACACATTAAAACAGGACCACAAGCAGTAGACTGAGGGGAGTCATGACCCCCATTTACTTGGAGTTCATTGGACTGCATCTAGGGTACTTCATCCAGTGCTGAGTCCCACAGTACAGGAAAAGGTGTTGATAAACTGGAGCAAGGTCAGTAGAGGACCATTGAGATGCTTGGGGGCTGGAGCACTTGCCCTATGAAGAGAGGCTGAGGGAAATGGACTGGTTGAGCCTGGAGAAGAGATGGCTTTGGAAGGACCTAGCAGCAGCCTGCCAGCACCTATGAGGATGTTGCTGAGAAGACAGTGGTGCAAGGCAGGAGAATGACAGACAGTGAACGTAGATTGAAACCAGAGCAGTTCTGATCTGATGTGAGAAAAAAGTTGGAACAGTCATCAACAAGCAGTGGGATGGGCTGCCCAGAGAGGTTGTGCACTCTCCATTCTTGGGGGTTTTCAAGCCCCAGTGGGATAAAGTCCAGAGCAAACTGGTCTGATCACACAGCTGACTGCTTTAAGCAGGAGGCTGGACTAGCTACCTCTACAGGTCCCTTCCAACCTGAATTATTCTATCTTCTTTGAAGTTGATCATGACAAAACCAGATGCACAGATTTTGTGCCTTACAATGCCAAGAAAACTGTATAAATTATTTCAAAGGTATCACTTATAGGAATAAAAATTACATACTAATCATGCCTCAAATCTGCACAGAAACACAGAGGCGCTTAAAACATGGGATTAAACTCAGTGATTTAACATGTTGTTAAAATCAGAAGTTGTTTGGGGCAATCATTTGCTACTCTCTGCGTTCAAAGTAATCAGCACTACAGAACCCGCAGTTACAAAGGACAACTAAGTACTTCTGTAATATAAAAAGTATTAATCATAGAATCATAGAATAGTTTGAGTTGGAAGGGACCTTTAAAGGTCATCTAGTCCAACCCCCCTGCCGTGGGCAGGGACATCTTCAACTAGATCAGGTTGCTCAGAGCCCCGTCCAACCTGAACTTGAATGTTTCCAGGGATGGGGCATCCACCACCTCTCTGGGCAACCTGTTCCAGTGCTTCAACACCCTCAGCGTAAAAAATTTCTTCCTTATATCTAGTCTAAATCTACCCCCCTTCAGTTTAAAGCCATTCCCCCTTGTCCTGTCACAACAGGCCCTGCTAAAAAGTTTGCTGCCATCTTTTTTATAAGCCCCCTATAAGTACTGATAGGCTGCAATAAGGTCTCCCCGAAGCCTTCTCTTCTCTAGGCTGAACAACCCCAACTCTCTCAGCCTTTCTTCATAGGAGAGGTGTTCCATCCCCCTGATCATTTTCATGGCCCTCCCCAACATAATAATAAATATAAAATAAGTAACTATCAAGAAGTCAGAAAGACCTTTCCATTCATGCAGAATTCTCAAGGTTTCATCTTCCTGTTTTCATAACCAATAGGTTAAATCAACTCTTTAAGCACAGGGGAGAAAACATAGCACCCTATAGCAGCATTGATGGGCAGGCTCTTTCATGCACTGAAGACAAAAAGCTGGGAGCACTCAGCACTCAGATCTTGTACATCACTTGTTCATGCAGAGTTTAGAAATAAAAAGGTCTCCAAAGTACTACTTATTTTTACTGTCCTTTCTGTATTCAACAGGCTGCAGGATTTTCTTTATAAAGTGCATAAAAGAAAATTAAAAGTGAATCTCACTGTACAGAACTACTACAGTTTGTAAGAGATGTAAATAAACCTTGGCCTAGCTACCTTTCCTTGCATGTTCATGGATGTGACACCTGAATTCTCTCTTTTATTTCGACTAGTAGAGGACAGTCTCTATTCACACATACGGGAAACCAATGCTTTCACAAACAGCAGCTTATTTTTTTTCAGGTCTCTGGTTCAGTACAATGTTAAAGCCCTGTTGTTAACTTACAGTCTACCTGACTTACATTCTTCAGTTTGAAACCTATCAATTTCAATGGGAAGAAGATATATGCAATCCTAAATGGATCAGCTTTTACAAATTATGGCCTCAAAAAGCACTAAGAGCCTAGTATAGCTACTTACTGTATAGTTCGTGGATGCTGGTTGTTCCAAAAAAATTAAAAAGTTATCAGATACTGACTTTTTCATTCCCATTTTCAGCTGCAATACCATGTTAAAACACAGCTAAATACTTCAAAATATCATTCTTATATGGTAGGTCAAAATGTGGTTCACAACACGTTAATCACAGAAGGGAAAAAGTAATAGTAATTATCTGTGGCTTTCAAAGCATGCAGACAAAAAGCCTTTTTGTGTCAAAATGTATGCCTTAACATGGCCGTCTGGAAAGCTGTCCATGCAACAGTTTTGGGGCACTTGTATTGCAGTGGCAATGTCTACAAGTGCATTCAGAATACTGAAAGCTAGAAGTAAACTGTTAGCCTTTTTGGGGGAAAAGAAATTTAAAAAGAGGTAAAAGAACCACTAGAGCACTAGTTTCCCCATCTACCGCTTTTTGTTCTGCCATTTGTATCAGAAATAGTGTGGCCAGCATGACTAGGGAAGTGATCATCCCTCTCTGCACTCAGCACTGGTGAGGCCGCGCCTCAAATACTGTGTTCAGTTTTGGGCCCCTCACTACAAGACAGACATTGAGGTGCTAGAGCGTGTTCAGAGAAGGGCAATGAAGCTGGTGAGGGGTCTGGAGAACAAGTCTTATGAGGAGCGGCTGAGGGAACTGGGACTGTTTAATCTGGAGAAAAGGAGGCTCAGGGGAGACCTCATCGCTCTCTACAACTACCTGAAAGGAGGTTCTAGCAAGGTGGGTGTCCATCTCTTCTCCCAAGTAACAAGTGATAGTACAAAAGGAAATGGCCTCAAGTTGCAATCCTAATAGATTGGATATTAGGAAAAATTTCTTCACCGAAAGGGTCGTCAAACATTGGAACAGGCTGCCCAGGGAAGTGGTTGAGTCACCAGCCCTGGAGGTAGTTAGAAGACGTGTAGATGTGGCACTTAGGCACATGGTTTAGTGGTGGACTTGGCAGTGTTAGGTTTACAGTTGAACTCGACGATCTTAGAGGTCTTTTCTAACCTAAATGATTCTATAATTCTATGATTCTCACATTCCCATATTCTAGAGACAGAAAGGAAAAGCAAAACAGTATGGGTGACAAATGATCCATCCTCCAGCCACAAGAAGTTGTCAACATCTGACATCTTGAATCTGACAGAAATAGCAGGAGAAGTTATAGGATCTGCAAAAATAATCTGTATCCTCTGCCCTCCAAAGGCTGTTGAAATAAGGAACAGAACCAGGTGAGTGAGTAGGGGCACTGGTAATCAGTGCTCAATCAAACTCTTTTCACAGGATGTTCTTGTGTTCAACCCAAAATCTTACTTCTGACTCCACCCTCTCTCACCTTACAACTGTCTTTGTCCTTCTTTCATTCTTTGTGAAAGATAAATAGGTGAAATAGAAGTAAGTTCTCCTTCCCACATTTCCCTTGCAGTCTGCTAAGGGTATTGTTGGATGAACATACACATACACATGCACACAAATGTACACTCCTGCTGCTTTCAAACCTCTAGATATTTTTAAGCTGCTATTATCTAAAATGTCTGTAATGGTAGAGGACAAGACGTGTCTCTAAAGAATACAAGACTAAAATCAGAGTAAGAAACGACTTTTACTCAGCTAAGAAATTAAGTATGGCAGGAACGATAGGTATGCTGAAGGATACTCTCAAGTTCTGCCATTCTATACAGAAAGAGCTCTTTATCCAAAGAATTCTGTGAAAAGCCAACACAAAGCAGGCTATCTGGTTAAAAAAAAAAACCCAAAACTTACGTGGCTTTTCCTTCCCTCAGGAAAATACAAGATAAAGAGAACTGTAGTGTGGCAGATACCACTTTCTTAGACAAAGGCTTGAATTTTAACTTGACATCTGTCTGTGTAGGCATGGGGCTTGCATATTGCTTCATGTTGATGCTGCTGGTGGCAAGCGCTTTTCTGCGTCCAGAAGGAGATTCCTGAAAGCAAAGGAAAAACAAAACTAACGTAAAAGGTGCTGTTACACTAAAACCTGCGTGTGCATAAAACAAAAAATACACTTATTAAATCTGCATCATTCTTTTTTCAAGTACACAGGCAGCAGGGATTGCTATGGTCCTTTCTAGAGACAGAAACCCATTTCTTAAACTAGGTCAGCCACTAATGGTGGCCCTTTGAACACTTGCTTAGTGCAATGGAAAAAAATAGGTTATTCATTGTGATTAGTGGTCTTCCATAAGAGATCCTAGGTCTTTAAGGGCTTGAGCTTGTAGTAGCATCCACAGCACACATCCATTTAAGCAAGCGTGAATATATCTCTATTCCTTCTGATAGCAATCTGGACCAGTTTTGTCCAAACTTGGATAGTCCTGGACTAGGACTTCCAACCTATGGAAGACATGGGATTCAATTATCCATATATTTCTTTACGTTAACAGTATGAGGCCATCAAGTTAATATGTTGAACTGCTATGTTCAATGCTCAAATACAATGCCTGAATATTTTTCAAAGCAATGGTACTTCTCACTAGTGTTGTACATGTACTATTAAGAGTGACAGGTTTCTGAAATTAAGTTGACAATGCTTCCAAAAATATTGTTAAAAATTTTGCAAGGGAAAAAAAAATAAAAAGCAAGAAGAGAGAAAGATAAAAGCCTAAGCTGTATTTCAAAAGCCTAAGTTGTATTTCAAGATAAAGGTGTTGCTCACAGTTTAACAATTCAGACAAATTAATCTAAAATGCATCTAAGAATCTACTCTCTTATTCCATCTAATATCAGTATCAGCAGCAAAGGAACGATTATATGTAATAAAGCTCCAGTAACAAAAATAAAACAAAAAAGCCCTGCTGTTAACTCTTTTGAAAAATATTCTCAGAATAAGACGTTTTACTGCAGCTGACAATTTGTGTTGAATAAAGTATACTAATTCAATCAAAACATTCAAGCATCCTTTTTCAAAGTACTTGACATTTCCGCCCAGTAGAATAAGTCAGAATGTAATATGTCATCCCCTAATAATACCTTGTTTAAAAAACTAGCCTTATCTGTCAGATTATGCACTGCAATATTATACAGAACTATTAGTGCATGTAGATACCTTATGAATGAATTTCAAAAATGCATCAAACACTTGAGAAGGATTTAGGCCCTCTCAGAAGAAATACTTAAGAATATGCAAATACTCTCAACTGAATCAAGTTGAACAGATGCGACTATCACAAACAATACAAGTGCTCTTTCTCCAGCCACGACTGTCAATCAAAGAGCGAGATTAAGGTCCAAGGTTCTGACAATGTGTAAAATGGAAAGTATGATCAGGGAGTTTCAATTATTACACAGATATGAACAACAATAATCTGTTATTGTACCGTACCTTTAGAATAACTAAACATTACAACTCATTGTAGTGAATGCAAGATTTACTGCGGCACCTGTTCAGAAAGCAATGTGAGAGACATGGCACTTCTTTGCGTGTTCTCCAGGCAAATGTAGGGAAGCAGCTTGCATCTTAACAGCAACTTGTTTCATAAAGCTAAATTTTCAATATTCACATTATGGTGTGAAAATGGTGGTCAAGGTGAATAGAAAGGAAGTTTGCTTAAACCTCTTCTAGTTACTTTTTTTAAGTACCTTTAGAAAAAATTGGCATCTATAATGTGGTGTGCAAATATTTATGCAACTGGCATGGTAAAAACTACTTGCCAATTCTGGTGCATGTATGTGCTTTTCTGCCAAACAGAAAAGGAGCAACCAGGAATTACAAAGTAACTTGGAGCCACATGGAGAAGACAAGCGGCAACGGGTACAAGTTGCACCGGGAGAAGTTTCATGTCAGTATAAGAAAGAAATTTTTTACAGCGAGAACAATCAATCACTGGAACAACCCCCCCCAGGGATGTGGTAGTCCCCACCACAGGAGGTTTTCAAGATGCGACTGGACAGGGTGCTAGATGATCTCATCTGGGCTCCCTTTCCCACAAAAGGTTGGACCAGATGAGCTTTCCAGGTCCCTTCCAGCCTGGGCTGTTTGATGGTTCTACAATTCTAACTTGAATATGCCCTCACCTGCAGTCAGGCCAAAGGAAAACATTCCACCCATAGGCTATAATGACTAGGAAATATTTGTCACACTTTGGACTTGACCCTTATTTGAATCGTTTGGGATAAGCTTATGCTTGCAGACAAAAACCAATTATGCCCTAGCTGGTTTTAAAAATCTGTATTATGGTATCAGTGTTATTCTCACTGAAATGATAGTTAGCAATATAACTCGAATATGTGGAAAGACTCTTCATTTGTTCACTATTTCCAAATTATGCAATTAGGTTTTCCTTTAAAAAAAAAGTCAGTTTTTTTTTTTTAATTTCCTTTTTAAAGAACATGCATGTCTCTTGTCATGTCCTCACTCCCCTTCATCAATGAAAACACCCGAAAAAAGATCAGGTGTATATACACCCAGTGAGAAACGTGTAGGGAACAAATGACGAACATGGGTACTTGCTTTCAGCCTTCTGGATGAACCCCTGATTAGCCATACCATGCCTGTATTCTGATGTATTCTTCGCAGTTTGACTACGAAAATCACTTCCCAGCAGCTGTAAACATCCCCAATTTATCAAAGACCTAGATTATTTCCTTGTGTAGCTACCAATGCCTTCTCAGTGCTGGCTCACCTGTTACACCCCATGCTACGAAAGCAACACACAGACCTCCCACGAGGTCCCTGCGAGGTATCATAGGGAACAAAAATACGCTTCAGTGACTCCAAGAAACAGAAGATGTATTTGGGGGCAGAGCTACTTTCTCTTGGTACAAACACACTTATCTTATCTGATATCATAACTGAGATGCATGTTGTCTTTATCAAGGTGATTTTACTAAAAAAGTCAAAGCAAACAAGCAAAGCCAACCCAATGGTGAATCTGAAGAGAAAGGACAGAGCATTAAACTTGCAAGCATCCAAAAGCTGGACGTGGACATCAAGGCAGGTGAATTTTGGAATGATGTGGAATTACATTTTCACTTAATATCTATTTATTGTATAAATTATCATCTTGCCATTTGTGGCTTCAGATTATCTGGATCAGAGAGTGAATAAGAGACCTGACTCAGGAAGAGGTGAAGTTCTCCCAGTGAAGATCATCATCAGCAATTCCTTGTGAAATCTGCTGGGGTTAGCTGGTGTAGAAGAGGAGGGAGACAAGAGTGCAGGCAGCCGTGTGCCTGTACAAAGGGGAGAAGCCAGCCATGTGCAAGAAGATTCTCTTAGCACTAAATATCCTGAGGTGCTGTGAAGAATAAGACATACTTGGCAATCAAGTTCAGTCTTCCTGAGAAATAAATTCATTTAATCATCTTTTTGTGGGCCAAAGGCAGAAGTTGACTTTTCAGGTTCCAATTGCCCATAAAAATCCAACATTTGTAAATTTATCATGTTAAAAAAAAAAAGAAGGAAAAAAAAGAAAAAAACAAAAATAGACAGTCTCTGCTCTTTCAAGTTTTATTTTCCTTAACGTGTGAGTTTAAGTACATCCTCCTACTCTCCCAGAAAACTGTGTTAGAAGTGTTGCAATGTTTTCTCCTTTTAAGCTTTATAGGCTTGGCCTTACATGGTTTTAGCTATGTAAGTAGAGTGGGAGAAACTTCTTTTTTGCCCCTGAAAAGGATATTCTCAAGGTGCTTAGGTCCATGACTGATTTCACAATGGATTATGTTTTCTACTCTGACATACAACCAACTTTTAAAAAATTGTTTTTAAATGTGAGAACATGCTAATAACCACTTCTTACAAAGGTTGTAAGATTTTCCTAAAAAAACCCCTACATGCTTCATGTAATAAAATCTGAGTTATCCCAGAACCACAGAGAAATTTTTGTGCAGAAGAATAAATAATTTTTAATCAGCAGAGACAAAATAATCCAAGAGAAATACCTATGAGTAGGGTATACAGGAACAGCTTCAGCAGTAGGCTGGAATGAGTTATTTCAAACAGAAGCGCACATTGGTAAGATACTAAATATGTAACATCCATTTAATAGTAAAAGTCTGATCTGCTGTTACTTGTGTCTCATATGAACACATGGAGTTTTGTGGAAAGTAAAGCAGGAATCCCAATGCAAACATTTTAATTGCTCAACTTTTCTCATTTTAACTATATAACCAAAGTTTAAAATGCGTAAGGCTCAAATATCCCTCCAGGTGTTTTACATACATGTGACTGCCAGAGTTGCCACATCACGTTTTGTGAAAGGGTGCATGGAAAAGTCAATTTTGAAATCACAAGAGGGAAACGATCTGCGTGATAATAAAGAGACATGACAAAATACAACACAACTATCAAGATGGAGTTAATTCTGTAGAAAAACAGTAATTTGGAAACTCTTTACTTTTTAGGAAAGGCAATGCATTATGCAAACAAAATCAACTATGAAATTTCGAATACCACAGAAAGACAGACGATAACCTACAATACTGGTAAAATACAAATACCTCTAGGTTATCTTCCAGCTCAAACATACTACCGTGTTTGAGAATGGGCACTGTTTGGTTCATAAGATAATATGTGGAATCCTGGTTAACAATCTTTTTTTGTTGTTTCATGTTTGCTACTGTATAGTTCTAGCAAGAGAAGCAGCATACTGGAAAAAAAGGAATTCTTTTAGAAATCACCAATAAATTATTAAAAAAACTAGTTGGTATGTTAGCAGAAACTACTGAAGCCTATCTTCATGCATAACAGAACAATGGCCGTGCTGGGTCGACCAAAGGCTCTGAGAAACCTGTATATTATTTACAAAGTATATTGTTTACAAAGTGATCATTATAACTTAACTTAAAGAGTAAAAACCACACATAAATATATAGCAATACTTCTCCAGAATACTCTCCTGTGTTGGGGAATTTCTGCTTTTGTATTCTACACTTTTATGTCTTTCTCTCGCAAGCAGCTCCATCCCCCTTGACACACTCCTCCTAC